AAGCACGAACACACGCACAGCGAGAAAGAGAGAGAGAGAGAGAGAGAGAGAGAGAGAGAGAGAGAGAGAGAGAGAGAGAGAGGGAGAGGGAGAGGACGACGATCGGGAGAAGTCGGAGGAGCTGTGTACTGGCTGCGTCGGGATTGCAGATTGCATTTCGGTGTACGACGAAGGGTGAGATGCTGCGGAGAGTCCGTCTGAGACAGCAAAGACCGGAAGATGGATGAGGCGAAGCAAGCGGGGGCCGTTCCTGTGGCCAACCCTGGAATCGAACCCCTGACTTCTCCTGTAGTACTTGGAGAACTTCAAGTCGGATCACGACTTGACCAGGGCATCATTCAACGGGTCTCTTGGGCGAGTAATCTTGGGTTCGAACCCATTCCTGGTCCTGCAACACATGGGGAACTTCAAGGCGGATCACCACCGAGGACGAACGAGGCCAAACAATCGATGATCATGGCTCCTTCAACAACAAACCCTTTGTTCGAGCCTGTTCCCTGGCCTGCACTGCCTGAAGTAGGGGAAGAAGGCGAAGTAAGGGAAGAAGGTGAAGAAGGGGGTGAAGAATGTGAACAAGGGGAACCGCAGTCGTACAAGGCCAACGACCAAGCAGCTGAGGCTCCTGCGAGTGCGAGTGGTTCAGGCCCTTCAGGGTTCCAACCCATTCCTGCTTCTGTGATAGACGGAAGTTCTCAAGAATTTCAACTTGAAGGCGGATCATCACCGGACGAGGGCAAAGAAGCGGTGACTCCCGAGAGCAACCCTGGGTTCGAACCCGTTCCCTCTCTTCAGTGTCTTGCAGTAGACAAACGACTTGAAGGGGAAACACGGGTGCATGGGCGCTATGGGCCCAACCAAGGAGAAGCGGCCCCTGCGAGTAATCCTGGGTTCGAACCGATTCTTGGTCCTGGAATAGATGGAGAAGGCGGACTGCTGAAGACCAACGACAGCAAACACGCTGAGCCTCCTGCGACTAACGCCGGGATCGAACCGCTTCTCCGTCCTGTGATGGATGGGGAATCCGGATCGCGGCTCGAACAAGCTGATTGGAACCGTGCGCAAGGATCGCGATCCGTTGCTATACTCGCGGAGGAGGATGGGGAGGGGGAGGATTGGGATCGGGACCAGACCGTGAGGAATGTAAGAAAAGTCGGGAGCTTCCCGGGAGAGACCTTTGCTCGGGCCAAAGGTGGGGAGGAGGAGGAGGAGGAGGAGGAGGAGGAGGAGGAGGAGGAGGAGGAGGAAGAAAAGGCAGACGCGAACACATGCGCGATGACAGATTCACTATGTGCCATAGAACAAGGAGAAGAAGAGAATGGAGGAGGAGAAAGAGGACGAGAAGCCAGACGAGGAGGAGGAGGAGGAGGAGGAGGAGGAGGTGGAGGAGGTGGAGACAGTAAAGTGGAGGGTCACGTTTTGCCAGACAATGAGGAGACAGTTAAGGAGAGACTAGGATTTACGGGAGAGAGGAAACGTAGGGAAGACTGTGAGAAGGACAGAATGAAAGCTAGAGAGAGTTTGGAGAAGAGAATCGGGGAGAGAATGGGAGAGAGAGAGGGTATCACAGACAATGAGACTGTTCTGGTAAAGAAAGAGAAGCTGGTCACTGTCGAGAGAGAGAGGCTGGGTCAATCAAGGAGGTTGAAAGAGAGAGAGAGAGAGTGGATAAAGGAGAGATTCCCAGAGATAGCCGATGATGAAAGCCCATGGGAGAGTACTCCACCCACTGTCAGTCCAACCACTTCCACCTGGACCACCTCCACCTCCACCTCCACCCCCACCTCCAACCCCACCCCCTCCACCTCTTCCACCGCCACACCAGGTGCAACGCGCGTGATGAGGACAAGGGGCTCGTCGTTGAGCAGCCTGACGTCGGAGGTTGCAGTCGCGATCCCGACGAGATCGAGCATCGACTGCAGGATCTGCGGAGGAGAGAGAGGTGAGATGATTGAGCCCTGCTCTTGCAGCGGGCCCGCGGCGCGAGTGCACGTGGACTGCTTGCAGCAGTTGATTCACAGGCGACGACGGGCCAATGCTCCAGATCCCGACAAGTGCGAGCAGTGTCGCAGTTATTATCGCGTCCGGATCGAGACCGTCGTCGATTACAGTCTCCGCCGGCTTTGCTCCACTGACTCCGTCTGCTGCTACGGCGAATTTATAGCCATCGTTGTCACGTTGGCGTATCTTCTCGTTATCTTCCTCTTCATGCTGAGGAAGTATCAGGGAAAGTCCTATGTAGCGTATATGGCTACCATCCTTGCCGGAGTAACTGGGGTGTTCATAGGGGGGTTAACGGTGGTCAAATTGTACAGAAGTTGGAGGGAGAAAAATACCGTCACAATTGTTTGGCCACTCTCACCGCCAAGAGACTTCGTTTAGAGGGAGAGGGGTGGGGTCGGGGAGGGGAGGGGAGGGGAGGGGGGGGAGGTTAACCAAAAAAAAAAAAGCCGCGAGGGAACCCCGTTTACCTCCGTTAATTACTAACGGTGGTTTAAGTTAGACAGAACTTGGAGGGAAGAAAAAATACCGTCACGGTTGTTTGGCCACTTTTTTCACCTCCCAGCGACTTCGTTTAGGGGGACGGAAGAGGGGGGGGAGGAAAAAAAAAAAACAGAAAAAAAAAAACCGGCCTGGAGGGAGCGCCCCCGCTTGCCTCCATTAATTGCTAACGGTGGTTAAGTTGTAGAGAACTCGCAGGGAGAAAAATCCGGTCACAGTTGTTTGGCCGCTTTCACAGCCAAGAGACTTCGTTTAGGTTTGGGGAAGAGGAGGGGGGGGGAGGAATCCCGTTTGCGTTCATTAGTTATTAATTTATTATTGTGTTTTTTTTTTTGTTTTTTTATTTTTGCAGTTGCCTGGGGGAGGGGGTGCAATTTCACAGCCCGGAGACCCGGTCTACAAGGGGGTGTAAATCCCGTTTCCGTCCCTTTAATTAAATTACTAATTTGTTTAGACAATGAGACTCCCTTTTTTCTTTTGATGACAATTTAACTACTTTTATTATCGACGAACCCAGATCAGGTGAATAATACAGTAATTTAGTTTTTTTTAATTACGGTTCAGTTTTCTATTTAACGAATACATTTTTTTTAATTACGAGTTTATACACCCACCCTGCAGAGACCGCGCTCTCTGTTCCCGCCTGGTGCATAGCGGTCTTTTTCCTTTTCTTTTCTTTTCTTTTTTTTCTTTTTTTTTCTTTTTTTTTTTTTTTTTTTTTTTTTTTCCCCAACAAGCATAGGTGTCCTTAGATTTGTTAAAGTCCGAAAAAAAAAAAAAAAAAAGTCCCATACTGTAACATTGTAAGAGTTGTGTGTCCAGTTTGTCAAGCGCCGCCGGGGACTCGTTCCCAACTTCCCACCACCCTTCTTCCCCCGAATACAACGTACGGTCATTATAGCTCTATTTAGACGGAAAGGTAGCCCCAATACAGCTATAATGACCGTACGCTGACCGTACGTTGTATTCGAGGGAAGAAGGGGGTAGCAGAAAGGATTGTATTCAAGTTGATTGAACGCCTGAATTTGGACGCGTTTGTGCAGAAAGGGGCAGAAAAATAGCTATTCATCTGCTTTTCAGCTCTCTGCATAAAGCACATCTACTCCAATCGGCTTTGCTAGTGGGGTCTGGCCCGGGGTGGCTTAAGAACGAAAATCAGGGGCCAGTAGGTCCTCCCTTTTCCCATATCTGGTTTCTCCTCCTCTTCCTCCTCTTCCTCCTCCTCCTCCTCCTTCTCCTCCTTCTCCTCCTCCTCTTCCTCCTCCTCCTCCTCATCTTCCTCCTCCTCCTCCTCCTCTTCCTCCTCCCCCTCCTCCTCCTCCTCCTCCTCTTTCTCTTCCAAGCAATAAGTGTCAATCAATCAATCAATCAATCAATCAGTCAAGTAGATTGATTGAACTCTCGTTGCTTACATCCAGTGATGATCATAACAACAAATAAGAATACCTCGGGGGTCAAGTGTCTAATCAGGGAATGGGGGGCTACCCCCAGGTAGAGAGACTGTGAAAAAACGATTGCTACAACACAAATAGGGAGGAGAAGACGAGGAGGAAAAGGAAGAGGAGGAGGAGGTGATTGATTGATTGATTGCTTGATTGATTGATACTAATTGCTGACCTGCATTGATTAATCAATTGATTGATGGATTGATGGAAGGATGGATTGATTGATGGATTGATTGATGGTCTGAATTGATTGGCGGATGGATTGAGATTGAATCGATTCTCATCGGAATGCTACGTGTGGATCTGCAGTTGAAACTCCGACGAAACAGTTTGTCACAGTCCCTCGTTTGTTGTCCTCTTCTCTCTCTCTCTGCCTACGGTTTACCGGGCAGTTCTGTTTGTGACGATATATATATATATATATAGATCAGCTTCATCCATCTGACAAGGCTCCCGACAGTGTGACAGTCTCGGTCACGAGTCAGATCGTGGCCTCCTCAGGGGATAACACGTTCCCCTCTTCTTCCACCGACTCTTGATCCTAACTTCAGGATTTATTTTTTCTTATTTTTTTTTTAATTCTCGTTTTTGAAGGAACTGCTATGTTAAAAAAAAAAAAAAAAAAAAAAAAAAAAGGTACGTTCAATGGAGTCCGTTTAAGGGGCATTCTCGCAATGGCAGACTGAGATGAATTTAGAGGGGGTCAGGATTAGGGCCTCTTATCTAATAGGGTGTTGGTGTTGAAAATCCATGGGAAAAAAGGGGTTTGACGTTCAGTGCAAGATATTTCCAAGTCTGACAGCATGCATCCATGATTCCCATCAATAGCCCCATTTACAAGGTTCTTTTTTTTTTTTTCTTTTTTTCTTTTTTGGGTGGGTGGGGGGCGGGGGGGGGGGGG